CTCCCTACTCGAGCTTTGCTTTTCTCTGTAACCCTATCAGCGCTTTTTGCCATACCGTGCCTGGCTTTAAAGACTTTTTTTAAAGGTTGGTTATAAAGCAGGCAGGCCTAAACAGTAGACAACCGTGAATGTTAAGTGCAATAGGGCCTTCTAAGATTCCTGCTATAGAGTAGAGATGTTGTTTAATTTCAGAGCATAATGAGCTAAATACACATGCCGAAAATATAAAGGCAAATACTAAACAAAAACGAATTAGAATATAAAACTGTCAAGCAATGAAGAGGACGGTGGATAATGGCAATTAAGACAATCTAAAAGAAAGCAAATCGCAGGGGAAAATGCATGAACAGAAAGCACAAGTGAAATTAGAATAAATGAATCCAGTATATCATAAATAATAAAAATTTAATTCATCTTTTAAAAGAGATCATTTATATTTGATTGTTTATATGTACATTAAGTTAATATATATTACATAAGTATTAGACATATATATTTCATATAATATTTATAGAAATACACCTAAAATTTGAGAATAAATAAATGCTAAAATTAAAATAAGATTTCATCTCAGTAGAACTGCAGAAGGTATGATGGGAAACCCTTGAAGCCCCAGATGTTTGGGCAAGGTAGAAAATTAAAGATAGATGAATGAATAAATAAATAAAATAAATATTGCATAATGTAAAATATCTAGAAGTCATGGATTCAACAAAATCTTCTTTAAAATAATTATTTAAGCTCAAAAAGAAGTCGAAATCTCCAGGTGCTAAATACAAAGATTTTGAAAACCAATGTTGTGGCTGACACTAAATTTGGGGCTGATTCTGACAATCCAGAACCTTAATTCTCACAGGTGCATGAGAAGACAAGACAAGTCCTTGGAACCCACACAGAATAGACTTTAGCAGAACTGAATCTATGACCATCGAAATGTCACACCTCAAAGATGGAGAGAAAAATTGCTTATGTGGGATAGGCATCATGATCTCTACAAACTCAGGAGAAGGTATTCAGCTAACATCTCAGCTTAAGTGACTCTGAGAATGTGTAGCCCATGGGTGGGGCAGACCCAGAAGGCATTTGAGCCACTCAGTGCTGGTTTCCCATCAGAATCTCACTAGGATTCATGAAAAAGACTGAGACACAGCCGGGAAGCTGAGAATGCACCCGCCATGGTCTGAGGAGGAAAGCAGCAGCCCCTGAAGACAGGAGAGGTTGTTCTAGACCCGACCACATGTTGGTCTCCTCCCCTGGGGGTGTCCGGACCCTGGCCACCCATGTGGTAGTATGAGGAGGACGGGTGTTTGGGAGGTAAATAGGTCATTACAGCGTAGCTCTCATGGAGGGATTATTGTCCTCGGAAAGAAGAGCTTCTAAAGATTGTGCTTCATCTCTCACTGCTCTCTTCATCACGTGAAGATACAATGAGAACACAAAATCAACAAATCAGAAAAGAGTGGCTTACCAGATGCCATACTTCCCAACACCTCGATTTTGGGCTTCCCAGCCTCCAGAAGTGTGCTGCTTATGCCACCAGTCCGTAGTATTCTGTGACAGCAGCCCAAAGTCACTAAGACAAAGGCCTTCCCAGATTCTTCCTCCTATCTTTCCTATGGAGCAAAGTCTGTGTGCCACTGAGAAGGGGGCAGATATTTTGTTACCACCGGGCAACAGAGGAATATTTCTTACAGCTACATGAAGCTAAGAAAAAGAATCTCTCTACCCAGGAGAAAGGGCCCACCACTGAGAGGGTCAGGATCACTTAGATGGCACCTGCCCCTGGCCAGCATGCCAGCAGGTGTGAAGTGATGATAGCTCATTATCTGCTCCTGGGAGAGAGGCAAGAGCATGAGGGGAGGCTCTCTGAGGGGTAAGTGCCCCAGAGAAAAAGCTTTGAGTTGAAGATGCAACCATTTACTGAGAAAAGCCCTCTGACACAGCAGGCAGCTCTCTAAGCACAAAGTAATCACAGAACTGAGAACACGTGCCTTGAGAGCAAGGGCAGCAAAAGCTGAAACCCAAACACAGCTCAGCTATGGGCCACGATGTGCTCCTCTTTTCCTCTACAGAATCTCAGCAAGCCAGTATGGAAGCAGATTCAAGTTAGTTGGTAGATTTGGTCCTGGAAATAGGAGAGATTGCCCACCTAACAACTTTTATACTCTGTAAAATTTAAGCTTATCTTGAGGTTGTAATGACATAGTACCTGCACAAATTTAAAGAATCAGAAAAGTAGATTAAAAAACCAAACACATGTGTATACTCACTATTGAACCAGAACTAACTGAACAAGACACATGTGCATATTTGGTATTAACATCAACAGAAAGCAGGCAGGTGGGAGGGGGCAGGAGGGGAGCCGTAAGTTCACATCCTGTGGGTACAATGCACGCTGACCAGGGGAGGCACTCACTTATAACTTTGACTCAAACTATACAAAAGTGATTCATGTAAACAAAATATTTGTACCCTCATAATATTATAGAATAAAACAATAAAATAAATTTAAAATAAAAAAGCAAAGTAAAAAATGTATAGAATTTCTGGAAATAAAATAGTGAACATAAAAGAATATAGAATGCTGAGCAGAGCTGGCTGCTCATTTGAGATCAAGGGTCACACATACACAGATGCTGGTCTCTGTGGTTTATTCCTGAAGAAAGTAAGTTACCTGGGTCAGGGATTCTGAGTTGTGCTAGTCAATGGCCACCCAAAGAAAGAGGAGAAAGGACAAGAGTGAACTCTTGGTCTCTCCCACTGACCTTGGTAACTCTCTCTCATACTTAAATATATCTCCATAAATCAAAGGGGTTTTTACTTTAAAACTTAAAAATATTTGCTCAACTTTCATAATGAGCATCTCTCAAAGAAGTAAATGGAGAAAAACGTGGTCCATAATCAGTTTAGAGAATCATAAAGAGCATGGACTTAGAAAGATAGGACAAAATTGCTGGCTATTCTTCTCACTAGCCACCGACCTTGAACAAGATGCTTTACCTCTCTGAGCCTTTATTTTCCTCATCTGCACAAAGAAAATATAATAACATCTATCGTAATAATTGTGAAAAAGATTTATTGAAATGATGTACAAAGAACGAGTTAGTGGATATATAAAATTCAGTATATATTTAGTGCCTATATATATGTATGTGTGTATTTAGTGCCTAAGTATATTAACAATTGTTACCATTATTCACTGAAAAAAGAACGCCTGTCAAAGAAAGTCATTAACAAAATTAAACAAAAATCAAATCTTCAAGCATTTTTCATGTGATCCCCCAAATGACCAGGTAGATACACACACAGTTCTTTCAAATAAGTATGCCAAGAAATGTGTATCTCAAATAACCTGCTTGATCATTATGCATTCCATGAATGTAACAAATACTCACAGGTCCCCCATAAATATGTAAAATATTATATATCAATAATAGAAAAAATGTACCAAGGAAAGCATGCTTTGGGGAAATAATAAATTCATTCTTTTGTTGAATTGTTATTTTGTTTACTGCATAAATATTTACCTAACACATGCACTATGTCCAGCCCTTTAGTGAGCACTGGGATGCAGTGGCATGTCACATGGGCTTCTGAAGTCATTCATATCCCCCCGCCATTTTTTCACTTGACACTGAGTTTAACTTTACATGACTTTAAAAGTTTTACATGCAGAGAACAAGTTATCTATCCAGCTTCAGTTCTCCACTGTGCCCTTCCTTTAAGGAACTATCTTGATTATTTCAAGGACAAATACCTGCTCACTCACATTGACTTTTCTGCATGACTTATTTTCCTCTGTTATAGAATCTGACATTTACCTGATATTTCTTTAAAATTAAACCCTGCCTTCTGACTCTCTACACCCACTTTATGTTGGCATATGACAAATCCATTCCTGCACCAAGTCGATTATAGATAGCAACATATCTAAGCTATCTCAGCCTAGTTGTCCATAGAAATGCCTTTATTGAGTTATGATTCAATGTTATGAACAGGGATATTATCAAAGGCTGATAGAAGAAATGGTCATTTAAAAAATGTTACTCTATTTTCTGTAAAATGTTGAGTTGAAGATATTATCCATTATTGTTATTCAACGTCCACACCATAAATTTCCAGTAGAACTTAGAAACAGGAATGTATTTGTCTCACTAGATTAACCTTTATATTTCCTATAATCTGACAAAAGTAGTAAGCACAAGAGTTAAGATGATAGCTCTAGAGTCAGATTAGGATTTGACAACTAGTCCTAACTTTTTCTCACTAGGGGGATTGTATAACTTTTTTAAGTTTTGTTTTTCTTGTTTGTTTTCACTTTTACTGGTTTTGTTTGTTTGTTTTTTGGTGTGTGTGTATGTGTGTAAGGGATTTCAATAAGATACTACATGTAATGCATTTTGCAATCTCTTGTGTATAGTGAACTCAATTAATACTATCTTCTGTTTACTGTGTAAGTATATAAACCTGTCTCTTTTCATATCTAACTTTTCTATTGAACTACATTTTATAGTCTCATCCAAAGTTTATGGTAGAATAATTTTTTTGCCTTCTTTCTTCTAAATATTTTAAATGTTCTTCTTTTGCATAAATCTTTCTTTTTTTATTTCAGAAAAAAATGTAGGGGTACTTTGTTTCATGGTGGGTTTTGTCATGCTAAAGTCAGAGCTTTCAATGCAATCCTCACCACCATGGTGTCCCTCGGACCCAGTGGCAGATGTTTATTCTTCACCCACTTCCCTCCCGCCCCCTTCTTGGTTTTCAGTGCCCATTATGCCACTTCATGAGCATTATAACGTCTAAAAATATCTAAAGAACAGAAAACTCTCCAAGAGAAGCTATTTTGTATAAAACATAAAATTAAATTTATTAAAATGTTATTTCAAATAAATAAAATATAATTTGATTCAATAAATAAGTGACATGTAAACTAAAAACTGTTAGCTCCCTAGTCTGAATCTCGTGTGTTTATAGCTGTATGTATATGTATGTAATTTTTTAAAAATATGGAAAGTTTCAAAAATTTCTATGTCTCCCTTGTTCAGAGATGTGCTAATCTTCTCTATATTGTTCGAATTTTAGTATATGTGCTACCAAATTGAGCACTATGCATCCTTTTTAACTCTCCTCAACACTCTTTTGGCAGTGTTGGATAGATCCTCCTATAAGAAGCTTAGCAAATAAATTTTAGATTTAAATTTAA